TTTTGCAAGGAAGAGTGGGCAAATATTGCCAAGTCAAGATGTGCCATGCTGATAGACTCATACCCAAAAAGACTGGAATCAAATCAAAAGGTGCTTCAACAAAGTATTAGTTGAAGGGTGTGCACGCTTATGCAACCGTATTATTTTAGTTTTTTTTATTTTTACTTCTCTCCACCTAAAAGATTTCAGTTTGTTGTTCAACTGAGTTGTACAGTTTATAGGTCACATTAAAGGTGGAAAAAGTTCTGAAATGATTTATCTTTGTCTCATTTTTATACATCACAGAAAGCTGACATTTTAACAGGGGTGTGTAGACTTTTTATATCCACTGTATATGGCCTGCTATTTTTACATTATGTTTACTTGTCAGTTTTTAATTTTTTTAAATTATTCTGTGTTTGTAATCCATAGGATAAGGATTCCAAAATCAGCTTCTTACAGAAAGCAATAGATGTGGATGTTCTGGTGCCAAATAGCAAAGAATGGCCTGGTCAGGAAGGGGAGGGGGGAACCTTCCGGGCCTGAAGTGGTTAATGAACTTTCACATTACTTCTGTGTTTATAATAGATTTTTGTATTATCACATTCACTAATTGATATAGAAATGCTTCACTTATTTATTAAAAGTGATTTTGTATAGTGTATCCTATACCTGTGCTAGTTGCTACACATTATTTTCTTTCTTTTTTTTCCCTATGTCAGACAGTGGTCCTGAGCTTTTATTTTTTTAGAATAAAATGGCCATTGGATGTGCATTCGTATTTCAACCTTAGAATGATTATTTTAGTCACAGTCTGCTCCAGTTTTTTTGTGAGGAGAATTAGCAATCAGCCAGGAAAATATCTGACCAAAGATCTGACAAACTGTCTTTTCCCAAATAAAGATCAACTGCAAATGTCTCCTCTGATCATGTGAAGTAGCCACTAAATATTTGTCCACTAGTTTAAGCAAAATCATCAAAAAAGCTGATGATCATTCTACCCCCTTGAGCAGGATGGTTCTCTTATGATTTGTGCATATGTATTTCAATCTGCTCTTTTACAGGCTTTGGAAACATTATAATTTTATGTAAACATTGTATAAAATAGAGTGTATGGCTACCTTCATACTTTTGATTTGAGGTTCTCTCCAGGTATAAGTCTAAATCTGGGCATTGATGTAATAATGAAAGTGTGTATTCATAATCCCATTCTCTACATCATAAATACTGTATTTGATTTGGTTCCTGCAGTCAGAGAGTGAGAGCAGGGACCATGTGCTCCTTAGTGTGCTTTATAGAAATGAACTGTTTAAAATTTCATAAACCACTGACCAATTGACTTAATGTTGAAATCCAGCCAATCTGCTAAATATAAAAAAATGAAATACATATACAAAAGCTGTTTTACCTGTCAAAGGAATTGTATTTCTGTGTATTTATAATTAAAAATTAAACAGCCCTGCCAGACCACACAGCCAGCCTGGAGACCTGGTTTATTTTTAGGCTGTTAAGAAATACAACTAGATCTTGTCTTTGCATCCAGGAGATGATTTGACAGTGAAGAGGAAGTATCAGGCTGCTGTTGAGTTCATTTCTCTGCCACTCTGCTTTCTCCTCCAGTCAGCATGGTCCTAGTTAGCACATGACCACTTCAGCACAACTAATTGACTACTTGAGCTGCTTCTCCCAGGCTGAGCACTCCTATGCAGGGACTGAAGATACTGATACCAAGTTAAATTCAAGTTCTCATTCCATTTGCTTTAAAAATTAAACTCAGAGTTTTTTTGGTTTTTTTTTTTAATTAACACCATTCTGTATGTATTTTTTTTAATTGGGCTGAAGAATAGTTTTAATACAGCCGATCACTTTGTTCAGTAATGATCCATTACTGATCCAGTAATGAGTAGTTAAGCATTCAAAGTTTAATGTAACAATTTATACCCAATTTTGTTTTTTATACAATTTACTTAGTAATTCAATATACTGTATTATACCAATTACTGTATATACACAATAATCTGAGACTGAGTTTAAAGAGGAACTTCACCCTCCACCCCCATTTATGTATTTTTTAAATCCCTGCTTACCTGATGCTGGGCTGTCCTCAATTCAAATACTCACCTACCCAGCAAATCCAACATTGTTCTTCTGAGATCCACTTCTCTGGTGCCACTGCTTGGGTCCCATGCTGCCATTTTCTTCTACATCATTGGGAGGCTGTCATCTTTTCCGGGCTCAGGCAGCTGTCTCCCAATGATGTACCGCCAGGTACACCGCTTCCTGCTTTTATGAATGGGAGACTATGGGCTTGATTTACTACAACTGGAGAGTGCAAAATCTGGTGCATCTGTGCATGATAGTCAATCAGCTACTAACTTCAGCTTTGACAAAAAAGAACCTGGAAGCTGATTGGTCACTATGCAGAGTTGCACCAGATTTTGCACTTTTTTTAGTAAATCACCCCTCTGCCTCCTGAGATATGTGATGTGTACATCCCAGGAGGTACCGGGTGCACTGCATGTCATTCGTCTAGGCAAGAATGAAGGGTGGGGGGTAGGCTAAAACCTGTACACTAAAATAAAAATGAAGGGGGGGGGTAGGCTAAAACCTGTACACTAAAAAAAAAAAAAATGGAAATATTTTTGTAGCAAAGTGAGGGAGGGTTGTAGAGCAGGAAAGTTTATTTTCAGGGTGAAGAACGGCTTTAACTAAGTTAACATTGCGGCTTGAGCATAGTTGCAGGGCGACCGCAATATCTTTCAATTTGCTACCATGTGCTGCCTGGACCTGCTTCTTGACAACTTTAAAAAACTTTCTATAATAAATAATATTGCATAGTATAAAAGGTACAATTACGAATTCAGGTCCAAGAATGAATACTGATCTACAAAGAGAAGTTTGGTCTGCAGTGTATAAAATGCATATTTAGATTGCCCTTCTTATACTTTACATTACTTTCATTTCTTTCACTGAGCAATAACAAAGATTGAAAGAGTGACAACGAATAAAAATGGAGAATTACTAAGATGCAATCAGTTATGGTGCCTTTATCTATTATTTGAACAGCACTTCGACATCAATCTTACTGTTATTTTCAGCATCGCCAAAACTATTTCACTGACCGACCCTGTCATCTCTGAAAACTTTAATAAAGTACTTGGACATGTCATGTGAACTCATTTAATCCATATTGTCATAGACTGTCATTGGCTATAATGCAGTTCCATCCCAATCATGAGAACAAAGGAAATGGTCTGTATTTATACTGGCTTTTATAGACCATAACCGACAGTGCCACAAATGATGCTTTAAGGAAAAACAAAAAAATACGTATTATTTGCTGACTCTGCTTTCTATGACTGTACACCCCTTATATATAATACTGTTTTATCCAAAACATGACTTGATCGAATTATTACTAGGTTGTCTCTTGGTGACTGAATATAAATGTATTTTAGAATACCAAATAATTTACATTTAGATAACACTCTATGTGAATGGCCTTTTTGAGAGCTTTCAGGTTAATAGAAATGCGTGTCTGAAGGTAAGATCAGTCACATTATATTATGATCCAAGCTAGGATGTAAGGGAGAATCTCAAACAGGGTAAACTGCTCTATAGGTTTCACCAGTGGAAAAAAATGGATCTTGATAGTATGTGTATACCGAAGCTACATTTATACTTTTGCAGTTGTCTGCATATTCATGCATTTATTTATGAATTATTTTCTCTGGGGCTAGTTGACTTTGTGTGACACATGCTGTGGAAACAAAAAAAAAAATTACAACATGTAGTAACACATTTTACTGGCACACGCAAAACCATGTATGACATGTGGGGTTTCATGTTAGCACTATAGGAAATGACAGCGCTTGGTTAATACGTAGTAACCATGACTGACAAGACCGCAGGGGATTCAATGCATTATTTATTATAACAGAACTGGCTTTACTGTACCTTTTTCCAAACAGTGCTTAGAGGGTGCAGGCTAGAGCACCTATACTGCTCCTAGCTACGTAGGTAACCAATTGGGCACGGCAGTGAACTGATAGAGGGCCAAAAGCACCCCTGTCGTCAGCACAAGGGACATGACTTACCTTCTGTGAAATGTGTTCCTTGTGCTGTTGTGTTCTTCCTCTCCGAAATCCTTCTTCTCCAATGCCCCCCTCACTCCTATCGCTGTAATCTTCTGATATGATGGGGGCTAATAGAACCATGGGGCTGTGACAGGTACTCATCAAGAGTGCACTGCTATGCCCACCCTTTCCACCCAGCTGCTCTATTCATAGAAGCCATTACCACAGCTTCCATGTATTAAACAGAATACAGTATATAAATGGAGAATGGACAGGTGAGCGATAAATCCATCCCTCCATTCATAAAACCTGTTTCATTCATGGAGGTTGTAGTATTTCTATGAATGAAGCAGCTTAGCAGAAAGGGTGGACATAGCCAAGCACTCTTGATGAGTGTCTGTTACAGTCCCTTGGTTCTGTTAAACCCCACTGCACCAGATAGTTACAATGGCGGGGAGGAAGATTTCAGTGAATGGAGGACAAGGGACACATCTCACTGAAGGTAAGTAATATCCCTGTGCTGACTTTAAATCTTTTTTTGTTTAACCGCTTCCCTGCTGCCCTATAGCAGAAACACTGCTTCAGGGCAACAAGGCTGCGCAAAATTGCGTACATATATGTGATTTCGCATTTCCGGGTAGGGGGCGAGCATGCCACCCTACCCACGCCGCCATTGGAGGCTACAGATGTCGATCACCAGGTCCTGGAGATCGCCGAGAAACAGTGACAGTGGAGAGACCTGTGTGTAAGCAACACAGGTCTCTCTCCTACCAGCAATAACATGCTGCTGTGTATTTCTCTGCACAGCAGAGAAATACATAGCAGCATGTTTCCCTAGTAAAACACACACAGCAAATACAGTAAAACACACGCAGCACACAGTAAACCCTTTGATCGCCCCAGGTGTTAACCCCTTCCTGCCCAGTGTCATTGGTACAGTGTCAGTTTTGTTTACAATCTTCTTCCCTGTCAGCTCGAGCACACTGCTCGGGATGGCTGTGAACAGTACAGCCATCCTGATCAGTGTGCTTACAGTGAAGAACACACCCCCCCCCCCTGCCCCCTAGTAAAACACACACAGCACATAGTTAACCATTTGATTGCCCCAGATGTTAACCCCTTCCTGTCCAGTTTTATTAGTACAGTGTCAGTGCTTTTTATTAGCACTGATCACTGTATTAGTGTCATTGGGATGTCAGTGGCAGTTAATCAGTTCCCCTCCAGTGTCAGAATGCCCGCCGCAGTCCAGCAGTCCCACTATAAGTCGATGATCGCCGCCATTACTAGTATAAAAAAATAAAAATAAAATTCCAGTATATATACCACCATTTGTAGATGCTATAATTTTCACGTAAACCCTTTATTTTATGTGTATTGGGATTTTTTTTTTAGCAAAGACATGTAGCAGAATAAATTTTAACCTAAATTTATGACAAAATTAAATTTTTTAAATACTGGATATACTGGATATGTTTTATAGCAAAAAGTCAAAAATATTGTTTTTTATTTCAAAATTATGTTTTTGTTTCAAAAAATCTTTTTTTGTTTATAGCGCAAAAAATAAAAAACACACAGGTGATCAAATACCACCTAACGAAAGCTCTATTTGTGGGGGGAAAAAAGAACATAAATTTCATTTATGTACAGCATTGCATGACCACGCAATTGTAAGTTACAGTAACAAAAAATGGTCTGGTCAGAAAGGGGGGTAAATCCTCTGGAGGGCAAGTGGTTAAGGTAAACATAGACTTTAAGGGGAACCCATTTAAAGGGGGTGTGAAACCTAACTGAATACAGTTAAAGTGGTTCTAAAGGCTGAAAGCTGTCTTGAATCTTTCCCTCCTAATAGGCTCAAAGACAGCAGCGGGAGCCAATGGCCAATGTCAATCAATGGACAAACAAAGCACAGCTCGAGAGCAAGTCTGCACAACTGCCTACATAGCAAGCAGCTTGCTATGGTGGGCATTTGACAGGGGGGGAAGACCCAGGAGCGCCAGCAGGGAACCCAAGCAATAGAGGATCATGGTAAAACCATTGCACAGAGCAGGTAAGTGTAACATGTTTGTTATTTTTAAAAAAATATATGAGTTTAGAATCGCTATAAACGTTAGCAATGGGGGAGATTTACTAAAACTGGAAAGTGCACACTTTGGTGCAGCTTCCAGGTTTTAATGTTATAGCATAATTGAACAATTTGAAGCTGATTGGCTACCATTCACAGCTGCACCAGATTTTGTACTCTCCGGTTTTAGTAAATCAACCCCAATGTGTTTTACACCAATGTCATTGTTTAACTAAAGTATTTGATTTTATTCATCCTTTATGCATCTCAGCGCTACTTGCACTCCAGGAATGGCTGTGTGGCATTTTCAGCTGTGCTTTATTTGAAGGGACTTTTGGCACCAAACCCCTCTGTCCCTTTTTTTTCTTCCATTTTCCCTATTTTTGGTCTGCAGAATAAATCTGTACAATAAATATACTATTTATCCACCAAACATGTTATACTTATTAAACATTTTATTCAATCTCCAAATTATTGATTTTTTTATTTTAAAAAGCCAGTATAAAGGACAATTAGTGGTAAAGAGAAGCACTTGTGAGTTTAGTCAGTAACGTTTGCGAATTCATTTTTCGTGGTCTGTATAACTGCTGGTGTGACGTGGGTGTGTCCTTTGCAGTAAAAGATGTCTTATCTCAAAAGGGAATTTCACTCTTGTTAAAAGATGATATTGTGTTGGAATACATTGCTCATGTATTTTTTTCAACAACTACATCAACCATTAGATGGCAGTGTCTATAATTTTTTTAGCTGCATCTATGACTATACTATACTCTTTGTCTTCTTCCTGAATAAAGTTCCTGTTTCCTGTTTGCAGAGAAGCAGTATATAAACACATGTGGACTGTGCACTGTCTGTTCTCTAGGGCTATATACAGACTCTCTAACATATTGCATATACAATTGCTACACAAGCCTTTTTATAATGTAATGTTATTATAAATGACCTTCTCATTTCAATCCAAAGCTGCTGTAATTTTCTAAAAACTTGCAAAAAAATCAATGCAATATGCCAAACTGGTGGCTTTCTGTACATAGATTGGTTACCAGACTGGAACGGACTTAGAGGCAGTGTGAGGCAATTTAGTCCCTCAGTTGACAGCAGAAGACAAGGTGGTTCCAGTACTTTATTGTGTGCTTTCTTAAAGAGAAATCTAGCAGTTCTTTAGCTCCCTTCTATCATCCAGAAATAGGGCCTGCATTTTCATAGTAGGATTTAATTTTTTTCTCTGAACTTAAAGTGATACTAAAAGTTTGTTTTTGTTATGTTTTTTTTAAATATCAAACATGTTATACTTACCCACACTGTGCAATAGTTTTGCACAGAGCAGCCCCGACCCTTCTCTTTTTAGGTCCCTCGCTGGCACTCCTGGCTCCTACCCATTGACCAGTGCCCCCAGTAGTAAGCCGCTTGCTCTGGTGGCACTGGTGCATGCTTGCTCCCAAGCCTTGCTCTATGCATCCAAAAGATACATAGAACAGTAGCTCAGCCCCACTCTCTCTTCACTGGCTGTGATTGACAACAGTGGGAGCCAATGGTTCCCACTGCTGTGTCCCAGCATCCCAAATGAGGAGAGAGAGACCTGGGAGACTGGAGGCTCCCGTGGACATCACTGAATCGAGAAGGGGCTCAGGTAAGTATTAAGGGGCTGTGGGGGGAGCAGCACACAGAAGGTTTTTATCTTCATGCATAGATTGCGTGAAGTTAAAATACCTTCAGCCTTTAGAACCACTTTAAGCTTTACTTATTCTGATAATGCACAATGGCACACAGAATCAATTTTTAGTTTTGCACAACCAGCTGGTAGGAAGTGATTTATCTGGCATGGTGTCTTTTTCTCCGATCCAGATATATGCATGGCAGACAGGGCAATATTTAAAAAAATTAGTATAATGTCACCATCAGCCATGAAATATTAAAAAAAGATATGGCTCTTGCCTGAAGCAGCTATCAGTTTCCAATTTTCATATTTGATTGGTGGGTTTTCATTTTGCCTGGGCTTCAGTTTTAACTCTTATACTGTATGTGATATTTACAACTTCAAACTTCCTTAATTCTGTCCCTAACAGGGGCGGACTGACCATTTGGAAACTCGGGCACTTCCCGAGGGCCCGGGGTCAGTAGGGGGCCCCATGAGATGCCCCTGGTACCTTTTTCATAGGCTTTTTTGAGTTTTGGCAAGGACACAGGGGCCCCATGATCTCCTATTGCCCGGGGCCCCATGAGTTGTCAGTCCGCTTCTGGTCCCTAAACAATTTCTTTACCTATGTACATATACTGGACCCTAATCCTTTGCATTCACAACATCCGTACCAGATTATTATAAGGAATGGTATCAACTGCTTCATTAAAATCTTGTTATATCACTTCAATAACCTTTCCAAAATTCAGATCTGAAATGTACCCGATGTACATACTCCTCATACAAGCTAATCATATCATTTTCTCTTATCAGACTATTGTCTAGCACATTATCTCGTTAACTGAAACATGTCATTAGAGAAATATGTAAGATGAATATTGCTAAATTTGAAGATTCTGAATTAATTCCTTGCACACCATACACCCTTCCACGTTTCTAGCATAATGTTGCATAAAAAAGGGTTTGTGGTTTGCATATATTGTGATACATGTTTAAAACATGGAGCTTGGTAATGGTGCACTAGATACATTAAAGTAGTACTAAAGCCTCTTTTTTCTAGATGAATATTCCTGTATAGATATTTAGCATGGGGCAATAAATGAATAGTGTAAAAAGGCTCCATGAACACCTAAGCTGTGATCCTATTGGAGCCCCACCCTCCTCTGTCTGTTCCTCACTCTGTTTCTCCATACTTTATGTCGGAGAGAACACATCAATTTCATCTCACAAGTCACATGATTTCCTCCTTGGGACTACATATCTTAGTGCCTTTAGTGCCTGCACATATGCACCCCATTATTCACAAAATGAAAGGAGCCCATTTTCAATCTGGGCACAGGCAGCATACTTATGTCACATTGTAGTCACTTGTATCACATTGTAGTTCTATCACAGAAGTGTACACCACAGAGTGGCTCCATAAGATCATTCAATCCAAGCAGCCACCCTGGAAAATGTTGATTGGTCACCACAGCAATCAAAAGATACAGAGAACCTCAGATCTGTCCTTTAAATTGTGTCTGTGAACCACGCCATCATCAAATGGTTCACATTCAGGTGCACTGGCAACCTGAGGGTCTACCATTTCACTGTTCAAAAAGAGCATCTTTAGCTAAGATGGCCAATTGCATCAAAGTGATCCCTCTCTGGGAAGTCTTTACTCTACTTTGCACAATGCCAAATACTTACTTGCTCATAACAATCGATATACTGTATAGTCCCATGCTGCAGTAAACTAACAGAACTAATACTAAATAAGAAATAACTAGCACTAAAACAATGTCTGTGCTCCAATCCCAAATGTTTACATAAATATATGAGGATATATAACAGTGCTCAGGGGGTTAATACAGAATCTTCAATGTTAACATGCAGTGACACCTATCTACACCACACTAGTTTTGGTTGAATTTGCTTGGGATTGATTCACAGGCATATTAAGCAAACGTGTCCAAAAGTCCTCAAATTAAGAGCATTAATGTGAACCCCATTAAAGTCAATGGGAGGCACTTTAAAAAAAAAAAAAAAGTATTCAATCTATTTTTAAGGCTTATGGCAAGGGATTGTCAAATGAATGGCATGAATAGCTGGGCAATGCCCTGGAAGACATGCATGAATGCAAAGAATTGCCATTCAGCTGGGAGCAGCTCTATAATAAGGCTTACATTAAAACATTAAAAAAATACAAAAATCCCTTTTACATTAATTGCTGATAAGGGTCTAGTATGGATTTTAGGAGGGAATCCCACACTAAAAAGCAATGAAAACAGAATACGGCCCTTCAATTGCATTCCAGACCCTTGTTTGAGCATGCATGAAACACGTCCCCATGTTCCTGATCTGCTGTATGTGAGGGTGTAGGGGGGAATTAGCAGAATCTGGAAGCCCATTTAAGGGTCCCCAGATATTCATCTCTACCCATACATGAATAAGTAAGGGGCACATAGCTCTTTATAAAAAAAAAAAAAACTTTTAAAAGTCCCGATGTATAAATGTATCATCAATCTCATCCTCCAGAGATGTAGATCAATTGTCTATCATGATG